GCCATACTAGTAACTGTTGTATTCTGATTCTGACATTCTTTATGGAGGTGTTCCCTTCACCTTCACCAACTCCTCCTCCTCTGCTGCCACTGCCACCACTGGTTAGATCTCACTTGGCTGAATGTTTACAGCAAGTGGAGCAGGAGGGAGAAACTCACACCTTAGCTGTTTGACCTATTAGGCCAAATCCCACTGGCCAGCCAGAGCATAAGCAATTGTCTTTTGCTGCATAAATGCATTCTGCTGTCATGTAGAACTAATAAAAACAAATCAAAATAATTAAGAAAAATTGCTAGTGGGATGAGATGGACATCATTACCCTAGATATGTGTATGACTGCGCATATGGTGCAATGCTACATCATGTACAATCATAGAAATGTAAAGTTGTGCTGAAATTGTGTACAATGAATCAAAATGCATGACAGCAGTGTCATATACACATAATTAAATAAATACATAAATAAATAAATAAGAATGTCAACATACTTTTTTGGAAAGTGGCAATAAGGAGGGAAATGCATTTTTCTAGCCCTCTCAAGATCCTATGACACAAATGTTACCAGTCTAGACACAGCCATCTCTTCATGTTAAAACAGAGCATCCTTTCAGAAATTTTTTCATGCCCCTAGAGGGAGTACTGGCATTGATTTAATTACTACTGAAGAAGCCTGGTGTGGCTTCCTGGGGAGGTATATAAAATTGCCACTCAAATTCAGGAGACTTTACCCAAAAATGCTTTGGGATTTTTTTTCCTTATACTCATAGTGTTAAAGAAACAATATTTATTATTCCAGAGGTAATTGGTTCTGATTTTACCGGTATAATATGTGCCCCAATGTGGTTCCATATGCCTTTAAGTCTCCCTAAAGGACCCTCTATTGTTCAATTAATTGTGATTCCCTATGTTACATCTCAACAGCCTTTAAACAAAAGAGGAAATGCAAGGTTTAGCTCTAGTGTCATGGGAACATGTTTACTGATCACTGAAAGTAGACCTAAATTGGCTCTTTACTTAAATGAAAAACCAATTATGGGATTACTGGGCACAGGTGCTAATATCATACCCCTTTGGTATGGCCTCATTCCTGGCCCCTTCAAAGGGCAACTCTGGTTTGGGACATAGGAGGCATAATGAATGGGTGTTCAAGAGCTCTCTGTGGTCACAATGCTCTGCCCCTTCCAATCCAACACAAATCATCACCCATGTGCAGCCATATGTGATGGCAGAACCTTTTCCTACATGGGGCAGAGACATGCTACGTAAACTCCAGATGTCTGCAGAATTACCTTTTTACTGGGGCCTCTGCAGATCTGAAGAAGATCTGCCTTGTCACTAATGTGGAAATTCCCCACCCCTGTCTGGGTTGAATAATGGCCATTGTCAAAGGAAAATGTGGAGCTGCAGAGGCCCTTATTCAAGAACACCTACAACTGGGACATATTGAACCTTCTACTAGCCCTTGGAATATGCCTGTTTTTGTTATAAAAATGAAGTCAAGAAAATGGAGATTATTACAAGATTTAAGAGAAATTAATACATGTATAAACCCATGGGTCTGCTTCAATGTGGATCACCAAACACAAATTTAATTCCTCAGGATTTTTCTTTATATGTCATTGACTTAAAAGAATCTTTTAAAACTGTTCCTTCAAGGTCATTGTACTGTCATGTGTAACTAATCAAAACAAATAAAAAAAAATTTTTTAAAGTTCCTCTTTCCTGATGATCAGAAAAAAATTTGCTTTTACTGTCCTCATTTTTAACCATCCTAAGACTACTAATATATTGCATTGGAAACTTATGCCATAAGGAATGCTAAATAGCCCAATATTATATCAATATTTTGTTAATAAAGCCTTGTTCTTTTTTGGTCATAAATTTTCTCATTTATTTATTTATCATTGTATGGATGATATGTTGCTTACAGGATGAAACATCACAGATGAAATTCTACAAACATTAGGGGAAGTGTTATTACAATCAGGACTCTATGTTGTAACAGAAAAAAATTCAACCTTACCTCTCTATCAGGTACTTGGGACATATATGATTTCAAAAATATTGAATTCCTCACATCCCAAATTTGACCCTTTCTTCTAAATTTTCCTTGGTTCATTTACAGCAATTTTTAGTACATTTAAATTGAGCATGTTCTTGTATTCTGTTAACTACTGATATGCTTTCTTATTTTTTTTCTAGTTGTTAAAGAAATAACACTATACTGCCTTTTTCAAGCTCTACAAAAAATTAACAGAAATTTGGTGCGAGTAATGGTGAGTCAACCTCCTTTATCTAATGTGCCATTATCATTGGTAATTTTTGTAGGAAAACTTTATGTCTTTAGAGCAGTAATTGCTATTTATAATCAAAGATTGTATATATCAATATGGTTACACTTTCCTCATTTTTTAGGCTAGAATGTTCTGCTTTTGTTGATAAATCTGCATAATTAACTGCTGATGGTTGCACTAAAATTTTATCTTTCACAGGCATAGACATTCATGTTTTATATCTCACTTATGGAAAAATTCTACTTCTCCAGTGCTTAAGATTTTTTTCCTACTATCAAGTTGTATTTTTTTAGCACCTATTTCTTTTCACATATCTCATGATGGGTGAGTCTCTTTCCTATGTCAGGTTACACACTCCCCCTCTTTCTTGATCTCTACCCTTCTTCTTGTAGCTGGGTTGATGTTGTATACAGATGGAGGTAAACAAAGTGGATAGTATCTGTTTTTATTAATGATAAATTCCTGGACCTCGGATGGAAGGTAACACACAGATGCAGCTGTGAGATCCCTTTATACTTTATTTTCAGATGCTGTAGAATCTCAGGAATGTTTTCATCAAAATTCTTGCTCACTAATGAAGGTGTTTTCCATTTTTTTCCCAACAGACTGTGCCACTGTCAGTAACTGTTCTCACTGTATGCCCTTCTGGGACCCCATATGGGAATCTGTAAATTCATGAGGGCCTACAGTCTAATGCACTTTAGGAAATGAACATTATCCATTTCTTTTCCTTTCATCCTTTTCCCTTTCTCCATGTTTCCATTAAGACTCATTCTGGGCTCATTAGGGCTAGTGCCCATAGATCTAAAAAGGTACCTGCTTGCATTTCTTATTTATTACTCTGCTTTGCCACTATGGACAAACCAACTCATTTAAAAAATGTATTCATTTTTAAAACATTTGCCCCTTCACATATGTCCTATGCTTTTGCATAATTTTGTACTCATTGGCGACTGTCACAGCTTACAAAGAAAGAAAGAAATTGGCCTGTGATGTGGTGAAAAATACGAATTACAACTCTATGGAAATCAATATGCTAAATGAAGAACAAAAAAATCATTTGGTCATTCTTCACAATTGGGCTGCAATTGATTATTATTACATTATAAAGTTTGTAATGATCTTAACAATATGTCTTGCTTTATTTTAAGGGACAATAGTCACTCCATTTCAGATGAGTTATATTACCTTATAGATATCATTAAAAAGATCTAACAGAATTATGGAAGTTCAGATATATTGGATTGCTTAACCGTGTGGTTAACCAATCTTACTTGGATTAAACAACTTGTCATTGGTGAGTGTCTACAGAGATTGTTGTTTTGTTTTTGATGTTGTTGAAGCCTACCCTAATTTTTCCTCCACCAATATTGAAAAACAAAACAAAACAGAAAATAAACCCCAAACATCATCCATCCAAAAGGCCACACAAACTAAAAAACAAGAAGCTATAAGTGTGTGCTGTGGAAATGTACTAAACAGCAAGTGTCTCTGTGAGAAAACTCCTGGAGAATAAGAGGTGTCTTGTTTCCCACAGCTGGAACATTCTGCAGTTTCTCCCAGACACGATTACAATAACTAATGCATGCTCAACCAGAACACCTAATGTACTAATGGTGCAGTGAACTACTGTAACCTAATGGTATAAATAAAGACAGCTGCTTAGACAAGCAGCCATTTTGCCTCTGCATCTTGCTTCCTTCTCCTTTTGTTCCCTTACAGTCTCAGGACCTTCCCCAGTGTCATAGATGTGTGCACCAGGATCTTCAATGTTTTACTGGTTTCTTTGCCTTCTCATACAGTCAATGGAGCTTAGCAACATTGCCACGTTCACAGTCATGCATAGCGCCTGCCACTGAACCTTCATGATGTCAAGATTTTTCTTCAAGGTATTTATATATTTGGTATTTTCTCAACATAAGTAAATCTCATGGACAACCCCAGCATCTAAGAAGATCAGGGCCTACCCAACAGCTCAGGAGAACACAAGGACTTCTCCAGAATTTCAATCATGTTGAGAAAGGTCCTCATGGTCTTCATGGTACTCAGATTATTGCCCAGGTTTTAGAATAGGCTAAAATCCTACAAAATCGCAGAGGGGTTAACTCATTCACTGTTGACTCAATAGTGTTCAAAATCTACTCAGAGTATTATGGGGCTCAGGGTCTTCCTTAGGTTGACAGATGTATGCATGGCCTTCCCCAAAATCTCAGTGGTCTCATTGCCTTTCCAGATTCTGAGTGAAGCACAGCACCATTCCCAAGGTCTGTAAGATCTCTGGGACTTCCTGGAGGTTCTCAGTAGATGCCACTGGTTTCTCTAGGGGCTCACTGAGTTTCAGAGCTATTCTCAGAGTCCCCTTCTCTAAGGGTTTTTAACACCTTCTCTATGAGGCTTAGTGCTATTTTTGGGATCTCAGTGATGTTCACTGCTTCTCCTAGCCTCAGAACTAGTCTCTGAATCTTTCCCAAGCAAATAATAGGTTTAAGATCTTTCAGAGATTCTCATTGAATCCCAGGGAATTGCTCAGACTCTCTGTGGAGCTGAGTGCCATTTCCAGCATCACAGTTGTGTTCAGCATTTTCCCAAGGATTTGATTTTATATCAGGGCCTTCCCAAGAGTAACAGTGAGAACTAGGGCTTTCCTTTCTATTTCAGCAGGTTTAAGGACTCTTCAAAATATCTGGTTGTGCTTAGATTCTTCTACAGTATTCTAGATAACTAATGGCCTTCATTAATGACTCAATGGGGATTAGTGTCTTGCCAGTGTGTCATTGAACTTCTGGGACATTCCTATTGTCACAGTGGTACTCAAGACTTTCCACATTATGTCCTTGGTTCTCAGAGCTACCACAGGTTTCTGAGCATAATCTCAGGGCTGTCTCCAACTGCTCTCAACTCTGAAGTATTCTGCATCATGGTTATTTAGGCCCTTGTCTGTCAGGTCTGGTCTGCTGGACAACGCTTCATGACATCAGTGCAGTTGTAACAGATTGTCCTGTTCTGATAGGCAGCAGAATTGCTGGGTATAGAGTTTATCTAACTAACACATAGCTATGTGGATTTTTACATAACATGCTCTGGAATCTGACCATTCTTTCATTATTCAGCCAATATTAGCCTTTGTTCTCTTATAATGTCAAAATTAATGAGGAACATGGACACTAATTCTTATTTTATAGCCAGTTTATTAGCTTCCAACACCAGAAGGGCCATTACTGCAAGGGCTTATAAGCAAGGTGGCCAGCATTGGGCTACATACAGAGTCCAGCTGTTTAGAGAGATAGGCCACAGGATGTGCCATTTTCCCAGCATTTGAGTCAGAACTCCTACAGCTATTCCATACCATTCATTGACATACAGGAAGAAAGGCTTTGTGAGGTCAGGAAGACCTAGTCCAAGTGTATGGGTGAGTGCTTCTTTAGTGTCCTCAAATTCCTTTTGATTTGTTCTTCTCCCAAATAGCAGATTCTGTGTTTTTCTTTGTGTTCCTTCATAGAGAGGTTTTGCCATAATCGAAAAGTTGGGGATCCATACACAGCAGAATTAAGCAGCACCAAAGATCACTGATTTGACAGCAGGTTGAAGGGACAGGAATTGAGCAGGTCACCTGTTTCCTCTTGTAGCCTAGTTGCCACTGACTCTGAGTCAAACAGAAACCAAGATACATGACTTTTTCTTTACAGATCTGAGCTTTCTTTTTTGAAACTTTGTAACCGGCCTTAAGTAGGAGAGTGAGAAGCCGCTGTGTTCCTTTTAAGTCATCTTCTCTGGTTGTTATCTCAGCATTTCAATTTAGCAGGCCATGTAGCAGCCATGGCCTGCTAAATTGAAATGCTGGGATAATAGGAAAAGATGATGAGTTTGTTTCCTGGGGCCATCTCAATTGTGGTCTCTTTCTTTGAAAGTGGGCCCACAGGTTGGGTCACAACCAAATGGTGAGCCCCAGTGTCCACCATAATTTTCATAGGTTGGTCCCCTATAAATGTTGGGACCATAGGCTTCTGGGGGCGCAAAGAAATGGAGCCCAGTCAGTCCTAGTCCTCATCATAATTTCCCAAGTCTTCAAATCCCACAGAATGTTCTTATAAGCATCATAGGGTTGACTTTCTCATTGAGCATTAAGAGGGACACGTTTGTAGGGCTGGTATCATCCTTGAAGGAGATGGCCTTGCTTATCCTATTAAGGAGTAGCAAGATCCCAGTTGACTTTCTTCATTTTGAGGCATTCATTTTCCCAGTGGCCCTCTAGATGGCAGTGGTTGCGTAGGTTTAGTCTCAGCCTAGTCTCTGGGTGAGGAGGTTGGTCCGGACCATCCTTCAGCCCTGCATCTGGTCCTGATTCTAATATTTGTTCTGGTTTTATCCTGGTGGGAGCCCCTTTGGGTGACTCCTGGGTCTGTAGTAAGGGCAGCCGCAAGGAGAAACCATCTCCTTCATCCTTCACTCTGCTTCTTGCTGGGTCTCTTGGTCTTGATTGACAAACACTGTGGTGGCCACTTCAAACAGCTCACTGGCATTATTCCCAGTAAAACCCTCTAGTGTTCTGTAGTTTTGGTGACTGTCACTCTTGGCCTGTCCCACAATGATTGTGTTGTCCACCTGCTTGTTGTCTGGTGCCTCAGGATCAAAGGGAGTGAAGAGTCAGAGGCTTCACAAGGTTGTTCATAGAACTGACTGGGGCTTTCTTCAGGTTTTGGAGAACTTCTGACACCTTGTTCATGATTAGGGCTCTCCTTCCCCTTCTTTGAAGCCTCCTATGAGGAGTTGTTGATATCTCTTTATATTTTGGAGGTCTTCATCTTTTCTGGGGTCCCACCCTGAGTCTGTGTTGGGAACTGGGCTTGGGCATAGACTTGGATGTTCCTTGTGCATCTGGGACATGTTTCTCTAGCCAGTTTAAAGCACATGGGTCACACATTTGCCCACATCTGTATTGAATGGAGTAAGAAGTAGCTGGCAGCAGTTCCCCCAGGGTTTTAGTCAGATATTTTGCTGCTGTGACTGAAAACTCTGAACAGAACAAAATTTTTAACAAGAAAAGTTTATTTGAGGGCTCACAGTTTCAGATCTCTTACTCCACAGAAGGCTGAGTTCATTCCTCGGGCTCCAGTTGAGGCAGAACCTCATAGCAGAAGAATGTGGCAGAGGGACGCAGCTCACATATTGATCAATAAGCAGAGAGAGATATTCCACTTGTGAGATACAAATATATTTTTGAAACCACACCTCAATTTCCACCCCTTCCAGCCACACCCTACCACTTTAGTTATCACTCAGTTAATCTGAATTAGGTGATTCATAATTAATTTGGTTAACACTGTTATACTCCAACACTTTCTTCTCTGGGCCTTCTTGCATTATCTAACAATAATGCAAGTGAGCTTTTGGGACACCTTACATCCAAACCATAACAAGCAGGTAGGTTAGTGGGTCTGGATAATGAATTGCATCATATCAATGATGGTCTGAGGTTTCTCTGTGTAGGAGGTGGTATGATATTTTCAATTTTAGAGATAATTTGAGGTGAAAGCCTGATACTTAAAAATGCTTTAGGCCCCTCAGATAATTTCCTCCTGGTCAACATAGGCAGGCCTTCTAGTCTCTCACAGGGGCATCTAAGAGGTGTCAGCTGGTTGTGGCTCTGGTCTTAGGATGGGTTCCCATGGTGGTCTTGCAAGGTGGAGGAGGAATCTTTTTTCTTGGGGAAGCCTCTGGCCTTGAGGACCTTATAGAGGAGGGAGGAGCTGGTGTTGAAGGGCCATATTCTGCAGTTTCTGGAAATGAGGGGGCTGAGGACACTGCCATTGTCTCCATGGTCTTGGCAATGTCGGGTAGAGTGGCATGTAAGGAGGTGGGTTATCTTCTGACTCAGTGGATAAAATTGGTTCTTGTCCTTCCCTTTCTTTGTCAGATTTTCTCTGCTTAGTTGCCTTTTGGGGGGTCTTAGAGACTGGTATAATCTGTGCTAACAACTGGATTGTCCATCTAGACAGGCTCTCAACCAGGAGGGATGTTTCTATACTGTCTCTTTCCAGCATTCAAGGGAACTATTCTGGGTGTCCAGGGGTTCCAACAACTATTAAAAAGACTTCAGCAATGAGAGTTTTAATTGAAGATCTTTCTGGTGGAAAGCACCTAAGCTTGGCCATTCTAATTCACTGAGAGTACACAACTTTGATGAGTAAATTTCACCCCATAGTCTCTCCTAAATCTTTCTTAAGGTTTCACAACAGACATTCCAAGGGGTTTAAAGGATTTAGTTACTTTGTGTGCCTTCCATATTCCACCCTGCATCAGTGTCACACACTTCTGACAAGAAACACTTAATCCATCTCCAGCCTTTCTCCTCTTAGAACTTGAGGTCCTCTCAG